CATAAATATGATCAATATCACATGCATGGTATTCTTTGTTTTCTTTTTTAATTTTTTTCATAAATATGATCAATATCACATGCATGGTACAATATTATAGACTTAAAATCTTAACAACACGTTTGGTTCACGGAATGAATTTTGAGGTAATAGGAATGCTATTTCATAAGGAATGGAATAGACAAGGAATAGAATAGGAATTGTATTCTATTGTTTGGTTCGCGGAAGGAATAGACTTTAGGAATTATATACAGTGTTTGGTTGATTTAAGGAATAGAAATGAAATATGTTTTAAAAGACATAAATACCCTTATAAAAATATGTAGTAGTAGTAGATAATAATAATAATAATAATAATAATAATAATAATAATAATAATAATAATAATAATAATAATAATAATAATAATAATAATAATAATATTCACATTCTAATTACATAGAGTTTATATCCACATCGTATAGACTATTTGTTAAAATCTAGTCTCGTATATATGTATGTATGTATGCATGCATGCATGCATGCATGTATGTATGTATGTATATTTATTTATTTATAAAAAAAAAAAAAACCAAAATCTAATAAATAGAAAAAAATCATATAAAAAAATTAAACACCATATACATTCACCATAGAATCGGATAAATATTTTGTGAATGCTGAAAAGTTTGAACCTGAAAGAGATGCAAATTTTAGATTTAATTAAAGGATAAAATAGAAAATATCAACGTTAGACTATTCCTGAGAACTCAGGAATAGCCTAATACCTAGGAGGGTCAGGAATCTCTATTCCTCTTGCAAGGGGAATAAGTCATTCCTAGGAACAGTAGGAATAAAAATTTTTACCAAACAAAGGAATATGCATATTACTGGGAATGCTATTCCATTCCATGCCTATTTCGCTAACCAAACGTGTAATAATTTGAAAATAATAAAGAGTATAAAAAACCTGGGGGTATAATTGAGTGGAAGAGATTCATCCATCATTAACCAAATGTCAAGGTTCGATCCTTAGCTTTAGGTATGGAGCAGTTTTAAATCTCCAAGCTAACTATCTCATCTAAAAGATGTGCCTACAAATTCTAAGTAGACGCAAAAAAAAAAAAAAAAAAAAAAAAAAAAAAAAAAAAAAAGTACTTATTTTTTTTTTTGTTACAAAGGAAGGGGGATACCCATACAATCTATGCCTACATTGAGGATCGAAATCTAGACCTCCCACATAGGGGAGCAATCCGATACCAGTGGACCACAAGCCACCGGTAAAAAAAAGTACTTATTACTTCACAGCTAATTGAACTTTGGAGGTTTAGAAAAAGGCTCTAACGCGCGTGTTTGAAGAAGGAATTTTTCCGAATGTAGTGGTGGAATTGAATTTTGAGGCAGTTGTACATGTGATGAATGGGAAACAGGGAAAGGTGTGACCGTGTGGGGATAAGACTTAACATGTGGCAGGTCAACTTCGGTTAATAATTAAAATAATTAAAATTTTAAGATGTAATTGACTGAAAAATTAAAGTAATTAATATTTTGATTTCTTTTAAAATTTTATCAATCATCGGTTGTGCAATTAGTTTTTGTTTTTTGTTCTTTTTTTTTTTCTTCTTCTCAACCTTTAATAGGGGAGTCCTTCTAGCAATTGTTATATCGTGCACCAGGGAGCACAATGTATTGTGCGCCCTAAAAATCTCCTGTTTCTTATATAGATAATTGTATAGTAGAATACACATAAACTCCTAACATAATACACATAAACTTTTAAAATAATACATATAAACTCTTAACATAATATACATAAAATCTCAGGGAACACAATGCATTGTGCACCCTGGTGCATGATATAATTTGCCTCCTTTTACCAGGTAACAATATGATTTTTCTATTTCAAAAACTAGTGTTTTACCTGTGCATTGCAGGAAAATTTTTTGTTATTATGAATTTAAATTTAAAATTTTTTTATTATTATGATTGTATAATACATTGCATATACACATAATATTTATTAATATGTATATAGAAAAATTCTATAATATAATTTCATTAGAAATAATTTATACTGATAGATTTATAATTAAAAAATTACATTTAGAAATTAAAAAAAAAAGTAGCATTTAAATTTTGTATGATTAGTATAGTGCATAAGTGCATGTATGTATGTATTTAAAAAAATTATAAATATTCATATTTTGTTAATTTTATTATTTCATTTCCTTAATTATATTTTATATTTTATTAATTATATTTTAATGAAATTGCCACAAATATTTCTACAGAAGAAATCTTATATTTTTCAATTTCATTAATTATATTAATTATAATTACCAAATATTGTGGCAATTACCATAACAATTTCATTAATTATATTAATTATAATATTTGTTCTCTTCCAATACTTAAATACATTACCATAATAATTACACGAAAGAAGGAAAAAAAAATTATCATAATAATTACCATTAATAAACAATAGAAAATTATATTAAAAAATAATTATATATTAAAG